CCTTTTAAGATTCTCCTCAGTAGTTCAAACGGTAAAATAAATCGAGTTGGGTGATTTTAACTACACAAAAGTCCGCAAATTTTCCACAAAAAAAGGTTCATAAAAGGTTCATAACTGCCTTCATATGATCGTTTCGTAGATTTCGAGCGCGGATTTAGACTCAGCGTTTCAAGGTGCATCCTATCCTTGAAAGTTGAAAGAAAAACGTCGAAGCCAAATTCAATTTTTGATGTGTTCTTTAATTTTTTACCCCGCATTGACGTTCCCGTTTCCTGGGATGTTGTCTGGATTGTTGCGCTTATTGTTCGGAGCAACAATCGCCCAAGCTGAAAAAAAAATCGCCGCGAAAGGACTGAAACAGAACAAGTTAAAGAAAACGCACTTTTTACGATTTTTCGCAGAAAATTCACCGTAATCGAAGAGGTAAGGGCTGGGTGGTTGTCTGCTTAATGAACAGAAGCAAGACTTATAGAAACACGAAGAAACCGCGTGAGAAGAGTTGAACTAGGGAAAAAACAAGAGATTTTCGAAAACAAGGCTTTTGCCGAATTTCTTGATCAAATCAAAAAATGTGGTTTTGGGACGTTGTCGGCGTGAAAATAGAGATCAAGAGCTTTGAAATGATATATAGCTTGCTAACATTGAAACAGCGAAGAAAACGGTACCAGAGCCAAATGCCCCGCGCCCCGCTCTTGGGGTAGCGAGGTAGCGCGGAGCGCGCGGAACGCAGACGAGCAGCGGAGACAGACCAGAGCCGTTGGGGCATTTGGCTCTGGTAGTAGCTCTCCGCGGGGTCTCAGTGAAACCCTGTAACGTTATATATCATTCTGATCGTCATGTCACGTTGAGGAGAACTTACAACGTTCCGCGCTTTGAAAATCATTCATTAACAACAGTCTTCGATACGTTGAGAACCTGTGGCTGCGCCCCAGGATTGCCTGTGCCCGCGCTAACGCCGTGCCAACGCCCGAGCAGTCAATACAGGACCAGGGTCAAGCTTGTGATGCGACTGTCGCAACGGGGGGTCGTAAAGAGGGTACTTAAGGTGGGGGGGGGGTCGTAAGAGAAGGCAGTTAGGCTAAAATATCCTAAGCTTAAAGGGGAATCGAAAAGCAGATAATTAATTGTGTTCTTCACGATAAATCTATAAAATAATGGAAATCAGAATAAAAAAGATAAAAAATCTGTAGAAATTCTCAAATAAAAAACATTTACAAGAGCTCAAAACACTTTTGAAGGATGTATGATTTAATAAAAATGCTAAATGTACCGATTGCCCTAAAAATCTTGCTTCTGAAGCCCTCCTGAAGTCTCACACACTCGACAAAAGCGAATATCTTTACCAGCTGTGACCATCATAAATTTCTAAATCTTTTTGTAATGTTTTTTCACGGGCCCATATGATTTATCTGCACTTTGGAGATGCTCCGCTACATCAGTGCAAAATTTGGTGTTATTTTGTCAACTGTGGATTTTCTTATGATTTTATGTATGGTAGCAAAAAGTCAGGAAAGGGGGGTCATATCTGGGTCGCATCTAAATTTCTCCGGAACTATTGAAGCTTGTTGGCTGCAATGCTGCTGTAATATAAGGCCATCCTCCTACTTTCCCTCGTAAAAATTGCAGGCTGTCTTAAAACTTCTCTGGTAAGTTACAAAATTTCAAGCTCAAAAATCCCACTTTTTGCTTTCTAGGATCGCATCTAAATTTGCGAAAGTCGCATCTAGATTTTTTCGAGCTTACTGCTTCTCAAAGGCTGAAACTTTTTCTTTGGATAGTCTGGGCACTATGCTACAGAACCTGTGCTTTGCAGCCTCTCAGTCTTTTCCTGGCCTTAGTTACGAATTTTCAAACTACCGTGCTCATGCACGTTTTTGACGTCGTTTGGACGGCGCTCAAGCGGTTTTTTTCGCGGAAAAAACTGTGGAAGAGATAGGAAGTAAGCTTCTTAGTCGAAAACATCTTTTGTAGTTCAGAATGTCATTTTTTCTCCATGCAAAAATTTGTGTCGCTTATGGGAATCGAATTTGCTGGCCTGAAGTGTGCCTGAAAATTCAAAAAAAAAACTTGCAGAATCCCAAACATTATTAAAGGTGTGTATGTGTGCTACAGATGATGGACGCACCCATTGGCCTAGAAATTCTGCTTCCGAAACCTCACTGAAGTTCTCACGCAGGTGTTTTTTGAGATTGACATTCGTTTATGCAGGTTACCGCGAGGAATGTGAGCAGGGAAGGTATGGGGGCAGATGGGGGGGGGGGGGGTAGATGCGGCACAGCGGCAACTCTATACACAACCTATGTTGAGCCTATACATTGGGTTGTCTCGTAATTGCCGCACGTTTTGCTTCCTCTTTTCAAAAAAGCTGAGTTTTGAAGGGAAATCATTTTTACTGGAAACTTTTTATAGTTTCTAAAAGCTCGGTTTGTTGGAACTGAAGTTCTATGCCTTCAAATCTAAGTGATTAGAACTCAATCTTTCCCTCCCTTTCTATAGTGTGGACCCCGGTCAGCTTCCCATAGGTACCGCCGCGGCGCATACGCAACGCGCGCTCGGCCTGACGCTTTTCGTTCATTTATGAGTAAAAAAGCATTTCTACATGATGTAGGAATGAAATAAGAAGTGGAAACTATCAGTCTCAGCTCGAGAAGGGCCTAGGCAAGAAGAGAACGTTCACAACCCCCATTAGCGCGCAGATATCAGTCTCTCCTGCATGCTAGCATGAAAGTACCGCTGATTGAGAATTCTAGAAGAGACAAAGAGTCGAGGGCTACTTTCAAAACGTTTCCTTCTGTGATCAATTGAAAAAAGTCAAAAAGCGTAAGCTAGCGAGCACATTTGTGCAATCAGAGCCCCACTGACGCATTACAAAAGATTAATACTTTATAGATCAACCGGATAGGCACGCTTACTCTGTAACCAAAATCTTTAGAGAAATATTCCACTAAAATATGCTAAAATCTCCGCTATTGGAAAAAAAAGCGAATTCCTGAGACAAAGGCTGTTAAGACTATTGAGGCTCTTAAAAACCCATCGTAGGAAGTGTCCTGAGTCGCCTACACCTGAAACAGAGCGTTCACAAACAGAACAAAGCTAGTTTAGAGAAGAAAACATACGAAGGAATAAGCATTTCCATTTCCATCGTTTCCATGCGAAGCAGAAACGAAAGCGCACTGAAGGCATGCGCTGCGGGAGCGCCGCGCAGGTACCTATGGGAAGCTGGCCGGGGTCTACACCATACATCCATGAATTATGATCGATTTGTTTCAGAAGTATGTATAATGATTGAAGTTTCACGCAACATTATCAGATTTTTGAGAATTCTGGGCCGAGAAATTCTGACTCATACTTGGCTGATCGTCGAGGCTAATATATCAAATGCGGCTTTAGATACTATCTTTAGGATTACATAAAAAGTTTCGAAGATTGTTGGGATTTCTGAGATAGCGTTTTACCGTCTTTACCCCATTATTCAAATAATCGAATTTTTTGATAAGAGTTTTATTAGAGATATGTGTAAAAAGATTCCATGAGTGTTTTGACAGAGCCAAGTGTTTCTCATTTGGAGGAAATTCTTGACAGGAGCGATATCGGAATAAACTTCGTTTTATAACAGTTTCAAATCGAGATGCCTTGAAAAGCTGTCCTTTTTCATAGTAGGAGTGACTGGATAGGTTTGGGCATTCGAGACGTCAAATTTTGTAAACTCCAAATAGAGCAACTTTTCCTAAAAGTTCACATAGGACACGAGAAAAACTTAGTATATTTCAGAAAGGCCACTACAGAAATCAAAGCCTTTTTCCGAGTTCACCTCAACAGGCTCTTTTCTCAGTAAAACAAAATAATCTTCTTGAAATTCGCTCTAGTCATGAGATTACATTTGAAAGGTAAATTTATAGTATATCACGAATTTACAGTGTGATCAGGAAGAAGCTCTAGATGCTTCAGCTAAGTCATGAATAAGAATCTGCTAAAACAAATCTAAAATAACATCATCACGTGTTGGCTCCATCATTATAAACTCTCGAAAAGTCCAAAAGAGTTTCTTGTTGGACTGCCCAGGCTCAGACTCTTGGAATTATCTTAAACACGACCCATACTTGATCCCTTTCACCCACTTCGCTATTGAAACCAATGAACTGACCAATAGCGAATCGTACATCAAATCTACTTATTTCATTCATAAACTTTCCACTGATCAGTTGACTAATTTGGCAATAGCGAAACGAATGAAGTAGATCAAGAGGGTTAAGGAGGTCAACGATGGTGTGTGCCTCAGGGATAATTTGAAGTTACCAACGACCAAGGTGTTTGCAGCACGTATGGCAGAAGCGGATCTTTCAGTTAGCGTTAGAGTTCGGAAGGGAATAGGCAAATGGTTTGTAAATTGAAAAAGGAAGGTTTGATAAAATTTATGGCCAAGAAATCACAATTGTTTGAAATGGTTTTGTCCACCCTACAACAAAGTTTTCATCGAAACACATACTTCTTTTTTTATGACTACTATCATGATGAAATATTATAGATGGCAAATTTGAAACGATAACAGCACCTTTGATTTTGGAAGAAGGCAAAACTTCTGTGATTAATGAACGTCAAGAGCTTCAGTGGCCGAGAAGTTTTGTAAATGAGAAGGCTTGTTTAGTAAGGACCTGTCGTAAAGAATATACATTGTAAAGAATGGTCCCTTGCCAGCTATTTGGTTTCCCCGCTGCGTTGACCCTATACTTTTTAATGCGGTAGTACTATACTAGTCTTGAAACCTGTGTGACTTTTCTTAAGTAGATTTTGATTAAGAAGTCGTGTTGCCTTGAGGTGTTTTTATTCTTAATGATGACTATAGCTTGAAGCTCTGTTTTATACTAGGCTCATGTCCTGCGCATGAAATAAATAAATCAATGAATAAATTCAGTGATCACCCTTATCATTCATCACTTTAGCAGGAATATTCGCATCCACATACTATCAACATTCTCGAAACAAGTGCCTTTATTCGGTAAGGCAATCAAAGCATACAATGCGAAGGCAAGTTTCTAGGGATCAATGGCAACAGTAAGCAAAGTATTTTCCTTGTTTGCATTCGGATTCAAAACAAAATTGGTAACTGCACTCCCTGCCGACGTAACTTTTCTGCAAAAATAATTTCAAGCTTGTAATGTGCAGCGATCTCAAGCATATTGTGTTTGCAGGTATCAGGTTCCCGACTTGGAGATTCGGAAAGGGTAGGCACCAGTGGCAGACCGAGGAGGAGGGGGGAGGGTACCCCCTTCCCGAAAACGGGTCGCGAAATTTTTGAAAATTAGTCACATGCATTATAAAAATATCCTGTTTATTCTCGCAAATAATTGAAATTTTAGGTTGTTGCAAAAATGATGTCCGTTTTTCTAAGCCTACATTCCGAACAACTTTATTTCTTTACAATTTCCTTTTTAATAAAGATTTTGCACATCATTGGAAAGTTCTTCATGTACTTTCTAACCGTGGTAAAACTGAAATTTTTATCTCTAATATTCTTTCTATACCTCTATCTTATCTGTGAGAATTTCACCAGCATCTTGCACAGCTGCACTCAAGATCGAAATTTCGTTGCTTTAACTCCCTTGGCCACAATTTAGGGGCAAATTAACAAATTCTTTTGAAAACAGAGCTACTGTATAGGAGAATGTTTATTTACTTATTGCATGTTTGAATAAATTTTTCGAATATATTTGGACTGAGAAATCGACGCCTCAAAATAGACACTAGCTGCATGGCATTCTATGGGTTAAAAATTTTTCCTGGTTAAGGCAATCGCCAAAACTTCGCTCATTTCTGTATGCTCGAGGTCAGGACTCTTACTTGCAATTTTTGCAGGAAATTTAGCTATTCAGTGCATGAAGAATTCCGAATTTTCATAGTTTGGCGCCTTCTAGCCTTCTACAAATAGGCTCAAAAAAGTGAATAATTTTGGATTTCTATCTTTCCTTTTCGCAAGTCCCCTTCGTTGAAGTTCTTTCCGAACAAACGTATACTAGTGGCTTGGGTCTACAAAATAAGCCGATTAGCCGCCATAGGAATTTGAAGGGAGTTGTAATCGTTCAAAGAGAGGTTTCAAAAATTTTTTTTGGTTTTTAACGCATGATTTTCTTCCCGTTTGCGATATCAGTAAATGCAGAAGCACGTTAGGTTACGAAAGATTACTGCTTCTGATGATCTTGGTTGCATTCAAAAATATGAAAACACAAAGCTGTAGCCTTACAAACTTTGCAAAACGGACATTATAATTGCAACAACCTAGTAATTTTTGAAAAAAACTTTCAAAAATTCAAGTAAGCTGGTAAAAATTTTTTGGGGCGTGGCTGCCGTCACGCCCCTTTTTCCTCCGATTCCGGGGTTACGGGATCTTAAAAACTGAGAAGCATCCCAATAAATATGAGGTGCTTCTCAGAACTTTTTTAAAAAATAAGAAGACAAGGTTAAAATGCTGGCTAACGCCACGCACACTTAATCCAAAATTTTGTGTCCCCCCCCCCACGAGCGGAAGTCCTGCGACCGCCATTGGTAAGCGCCTTGTCTAATACGCTTGTGTCTGTCGTTTTTTTAAGAAGACACAACAAGGGCAGAGCAACTTATTGCATAGAACTTATTGTTTTGCGTTTTGAGACGAAGAATAGCTGGCAATGTCAAAGCAAGAATCTGTTATGGGAATTTCATTTTGCGTTTTTTCGCACTCGAATATAATATCTCAAAGTCAATTCTACAATCACAGTATCGCAACATAATAACAATGCAAGATTATAGTGTGGACCTCGGCCAGGTTCTCGTATGTATAAGCTCCTGCAAGACGAAGGCGGTCGGTTCGATGTGTGACGTGGTTGTGACGCGGCTGTGATGCAGCTGTGTCGCAGCAGCGTTGCACCTCGAACCGACCGCCTTCGTCTTGCAGGAGCTTATACCTCCGCGCCGCGCACGCACCGCGCGTCGGGCTGCCTCCTAGGTGCCCTCGTGTTTTCCTTTCGAATTTCCAAGCTCCTTTCTTCTTCTTTCTCCGCTCTTTGTGCTTGTACTCTGTATTTTAGGCAAGATATGGCAGATAACCGCTGCAACACGCCGTCTTCCCTGTTATCCAACATGTTTGAGTGGCTACAGGTAAACCTCGGTCTGCCAGTTGCTGCAGCGGACCCTTCTCTTAAATTTTGCTGAATTTGAGACCGGGTCGCACACATTGTTTGATCAAGACACCTTTTCTCTTTTGTCTCCATACTTCAAATAATTGTAGATGAAAAGATCACAAGTGTGATGGTAGATCTTATATATAAAGCTGAATGTCTGTCTGTATGTCTGTCTGTCTGTACGTATGTGCGGAATAGAAATTTTTATTTCTGAACCGATTTGGACCAAACTTGGCACACATATACTTCGGGGCAGGGAGCGTGTCATAGGCTACTTTTCGTTATCGATCGATATCGATTTTATCGATTTTTTGCAAAATTTGAGCTACAGGGCTGGGAGTTGGCACAGGGGGGTAATCGAGCATGCTGATTACAAATATATATTGACAGGCCCGGGCGGAGCCGGGTATGCCAACTAGTACACGATAAACGTGCTAAACACGAGATCAAGCTTGTTTAGACAAAGTGTGCGATCCAGCGAGTCCTCGGGCAGGACTTGAGGTAACCTAGAAGGAGACTTCAAGAGAAAGGTCCGCTGCAGTTACTGGCAGACCGAGTCTTACCTGATTTAGCCACTCATGTTGGATAACAGGGAAAACGGCGTGTTGCAAAGGTTATCTGCCATATCTTGCCTAAAATACAGAGTACAAGCACAAAGAACGGAGAAAAAGAGGAAAGAAACTTAGAGATTCGAAAGGACGCGAAAACACGAGGGCGCCTAGAAGGCAGCCCGACGCGCGCTGCGTGCGCGGCGCGGAGGTACATATGAGAACCTGGCCGGGGTCCACACTATACATCAAATTATGATTGCGTCAACGCAGCCTTACTTATCATTGAGCCAAATAGGATAGGTGTGCCCAAATCTGCGTATTGCAAATACGATTTCTTAGCAATATGATACTTCTACAGAAGCGTTCAGGAGATAACAAGTAGCCGTACAGCGTTCACGCCAAACCATTATCGTGCATCTTGTTGAAAAATAGCCACTTCGACTTCTGATTCCCTTGCGAGCAGGGCTCGGCACGAACTGGACCAAGAAGTTTTGAAACGGAGTCCCCCATTGAATTTATAAAAATTCTACAAAGTCCTGTTTGACATTTTCAATGTCTCTCACTCCTTTCTACTTGCCTTTCTGCTCTTTATTTCGTGTGGGTCTGTGCAAGGGGCAAACGAAAACGAGGAAAAACTTTTATTCAATTCTCTTTATCTTTACCCCTTCACCTCTCCCTCCCCCCCCCCCCTCCCCCTACTTCTCCCCCTCTACGAATGATACGGACGAATAACCAGAAAAACAACGAAAAAAGAGAAAAAGACCGAGGCAAGCACAACGTACATTGAGCGGCAGCGTGATTCGCGCGTCGGTTTGCTTACAAGGGAAGTTCACTTATTCGAAGTGGCGATTCGGAAGGAGATCTATACCAGTGGATAGAGCTCAAAAAGCTGATCTAAGATGTACCTTCTATATCTGCGATGCGCCGTTCTGAAAAAAGTTATGAGCTTTTCTAAAGCCAAATTTTCGTGCATTTTGAGTCGCAAAATTATGATAATCGCTATACAAAAGTGTGCAAGTTTAAGCAAACCACCTAGTAAGTATTGTAGGTCTAATTCGACTTCATCCGAACGTTTCGAGTGTTTTCCGACCATGTCGTTTATTCACAGGCCGTCATTTGCTTCCTTTATCACACTTCCATTATGTATACAAAAAAACCCCCATAATCTCCAATTAAAAGAACGCGTCGCGTCGGAAACTTTTTTTTTGAAACTACCAGTGGATAGAACGTAAAACGATGTTCTCATTATATCTTCAATATCTGCGACGCGTTCTAGATGGAGGTTATGCTTTTTTGTTTATATAACGGAAATGTGATAAAGGAAGCAAATGACGGCCTGTGAATGAACAACATGGTCGGAAAACACTCGAAAACGTTCGGATGAAGTCGAATTAGACCTACAATACTTACTAGGTGGTTTGCTTAAGCTTGCACACTTTTGTATAGCGATTATCATGATTATGCGACTCAAAATGCACGAAAATTTGGTTTCAGAAAAGCTCATAACTTTTTTCAGAACGGCGCATCGCAGATATAGAAGGTACATCTTAGATCAGCTTTTTGAGCTCTATCCACTGGTATAGATCTCCTTCCGAATCACTTCGAATAAGTGAACTTCCCTTGTTAGAGGCAGTGACCCGCGAAAATTGCGACTGCGATCTATTCACACATACATGACCTTCTGGATGCGCTGAGTCCAGTGGTATGATTTGAGAGTAAATTGCTTTTTACAGCATTTCCCTACCTTGGAGGTAGCTGGAGGGGTGGGTGGATGATTTCCGCCATAAACAGCGACTGGCTGCAGGAGTCTGTGACTCCACCCATTTTGGCGGTTATTGGCTGGTGGCCCAATTGGCAGAAATCTCTCGCTAGTCCCGTCCAGCTATCTCCAGGGGTAGAAAAAACCGTAAAAAGTACCTTATTTTCAGGTGTATAAGCTGCGGGGAATTTTTTTTTGTGTGTGTAAATGACCAGCCCAAACACGCTAAAATGACTTCGCGACCAAAAGGCCATATATCGTGCTGCATATTGCTTAAGAGAATCGTGCGGCATAAGGATCGCTTTCCGAAACACAGTGAAGCCGCTTAGCAGCTTGTTTAAAAATTCAAAAAAGTGCGGCTTATACACCTGAAATTAAGGTACTTTCGGCATTTCAGGCACAGCTCTGGACCTCAGAAGGCCATGTGGAAAGCTTGCAGCCGCAATCTTTCTGATCCACTTCCCTTGAGAGCGTGCTCTGCGACCGGAGCAGATCAGCAGCACGCCGGCAGCGAAAATTTTCTGAGGGTTAGAAAACAGCAAGCCCATAGAAATGTGTGAAACTGTTTTTTTCTGTGTGCAGCCGTCACAGTGAAAATACAGTTTGTAAGAGAATGAGAGATTACGTAAGCAAAAGCCAATTTTTGGGAACATAATTGGAGTCTCCCACGCGCATGTGCACACCAATTTTAGTACGCCTACTCTCGATAATACTTTTTTTAGCAAGCCACCAACACGCCGATGGCATACCGGCGGCATGCTAGTAAACAGCGATGCAGAGAGTGGCATGCCGGCAGCGCGCCGCGTGCTTGCGACATGACTCGCAAAAACAATATTCCCTTCGCTTTCTTGCTCAAGATATCCAGCTTAATCCAGTTCTAGCGCCGAGCCCTCATTGTGGGTCTATCGCGCAGGCACATCGTCTACTATGCGAACATCGCTGGAAAGTGGGAATTGCGTGGTCTATGGTGAAACAACTGCAAAGTACTGTTTTTCTAACTACAAATATGCTGCACGAAGTAGTGAGTCTTAGAGCGGCAAACCTTCTAGATCGAGCCGCCAATGAGTCTAATAATAGGCTTGACTTTTCTAAACAGCTGCAACAGTGACTTCTTTACAATCAAATTGCATCAAGCTTCTTACCGTTTTATTTTTACCACAGGCTTTCTCGTCGTTCGCAAATAATTCGGCTTTGAATTCATCTGAAAATCTTAACGGTAATTTAAATGCTCGAATCTTTAGGAGAAGGCTCGGTAAACCTGTAAACATGAAATGGTCCTAAATAGGTACTTTAAATCTGGTGCTTTACTGCAACGCATGCTAGCCAACTTTGTGAAAATAATGTAAATTGGGATACGAGATTTGTGACATACATCTGCAATGCAGAAGTATCCAGAATAAAAAAGTATACAGGGTGTCCCAAAAAATATGCACACTGTTTGAGCCTCTGCTTTCATGTCTTTGTAGAGCGGGGTTCAATTTAGATTCACAGTAGGGAGTGATTCATAGATCCTTATTGTAGGATTACGGTAGGACTTCGACAAGAGTTTTAGGCCATTGGAGGCCATATGCTGCCTCGGAATAAAACAGGGGTAATGGAAGCCGCTGATGTCGAATATCTCCACTTCACTATGATGTTTCTTTCCGAAGTTATTCAGGTGAACGGTAATAATCGGGCTCCTAGGATTTGTCAGAGATGTGATTAAACCGTCAAAAAGCTGAAAATGCTCGCAAAAGATTTACGATGAAATCAGCGTGCGCAAAAACCTCAGTACACGATTTTCAGATTTTTTGAAAAAAGTTTTGTCGGATGGCATATTTCGGTTCCATACGCTAAAAGTTCTTACCGTAATCCTACAATAACGAAAAGGGATCGGTGATTCGCTTCATGCTGTAAGTTGAACCTTTTTAACCTTTTTAACCTCTACAGAATGGTGCCTGAAAGTAGGCGAAAGACGTTACAAGAAGTTAATAACGATCAAACAGTGTGCACATTTCTTTTGGAAACCCTGTATTAGAGCAAGGGCTGCAGCATTATTAGGTGTGAGGTTTGAAAAAAAAACGGAATTTCATCCTCAGTCAAATAGCTAATCTGAATTCGCCATAGTTTGGAGTGATTGATGCCCGTGTTATCAAAAATTTTATATGTAAAGCTGAATGTCTCTTTGTCTGTGTATCTCTCCGTGTATGTGACATGTTCCGGATAGAAAATTCATTTCTGAATCGATCCGAACCAAACTTTGCGCCATACACTTCGGGCAGGCAGGTGTTATAGACTGCTTTTCGTTAATGATCGATTCAATACTACCTATTTTTCGAAGAGTTCGAGCTACAATATCACCCGTAATTTGTGAAAAAAAAAATGGCGGCGGCACTTAACTCACGCGGCGCCGCCGCAGTTAGGTGACAAACGCCGCGTCGCGCGACAAAAGTCGGCGGAAAAGCGGCATTTGCCGCCTAACTTTGCCGCGCAACGCCTAACTTTTTTTATAAAAAAGACCTTATCTTGATCCAAAATTTATGAATTCTATATATAAGAGTACCATTCAACTCAGCTCGGCGAGGCGCATCTTCCAGTATACGGATGTGCCTAGTTGTGGGATATAAGTTTCTTTCCTGGAATTTTAGACCATTCAGTGTGCTGAATCCAGAGGTTACATACACATTCTGTTGAGCACTGCAGAAATAGGGCAGGTATAGTTTAAGAGCTCATTCTGCATGGATATGTATTGAACTGGCTTTTCTCGGCGAAGTATGACGGGTCCCAAAATGCAGGAAGACAAAGGGAAATGGTTGGAAATCGCATGGGAATCACATATCGCGGAATGCCGCGCGTGCTATGCAATGTACAATACCACTCACAGAACGGGAATTTCGCGAAATTCCAGAAATTTCGCGATTCCGGAATATCGCAAATTATGCAGCGCCATAACTTCCTTCGGAATGAATATATTCTAAATTCGAAAGCAGCATTGTGTTCATCTCGTCAAGGCGAATTCCGACATACGTCATGCCATCTATATCTTGTTTCCAGTTTTCTCAAATTGTTCTGAGGAGGTCCCTTTGAAAGTTAACGCAGCGCCTATCCAACATGAAAGCTTCCAGTAAGCACCATTCGATAGTGCTCTTCTTGTACATTATAGTGCGCTAGGAAGCTGCCGCAGACTTCTTTTCAAAAGAGAAAAAAGCGTTGGTAAATTCTGGAAAAATCACTCGTTTCCAAATTCTACTCGCCGTAACTTTCTTTGGAATGGATATTTTCTGAATCCGAAAAATGCATTGTGCTCAGCTCATCAAGGCAAATCTTTCGATATGCAGAATGTCCTTGATATCTCGATTTCAGTATTCTCAAAACTTTCTGCGGGCGTCTCTTCGCAAAGGTGTGAAGCAGCGCGTATTGCCCCCAGTACATTCAGAAAGTAATTTTCGATAGTACTTCTTCTGTAGATTATGGAGCGCTAGAAAGTAGCCGCACACTTCTTTCCAGAGGAGTTAGAAGGGCTGGTGAATTCTGTAAAAATCACGTCGTTCTAAATTTTTCTCAACGTAACTCTAAAATATGAAGCTCCCTTGCTAAGCAGATGTGATTTTCGTAATCATCAGGTCGGATACCCCTTATGTGCAAGTTCCAAGATGTTCGAGTAATTTCATTTTTTCTCGTTTTACGCTCTGAAGTTGGCCGATGGGTTTTGGTCAAAATGTTCATGCTCTTAAATTGTAAGGAAACTTCGCTTATAGAGGTTTTCGAACACGCTTTTTACGAAAATCAAGGTCATTGAGGATTACAGGGTCTTTTTGGTGAGATACGGTGAGGTGACTGTAACTGCATCACGAAAGTCCGTAATTTTGCCCGCACTTCTCGCGCATCTATCAGAAAACTTGCCTGCTTGCTTTTCTCAGTCAAAGTTAATAGGAATTGTGCTATCGAATGGTGCTCGACTCAGGCTCCAGTCTGTAAAAATCACCGATTTACGAGCCTATGAAAACACGTCCTCATGAATTTTGCCCAAAATGTAAAGATCGCAAATCTCGTCGAAATTCCACCGTGAGTGCTTGTATGACACTCGCATTGCGGACATTGTGTTCGCTTCGCCCAAAAACTCCCACTGTATTGAATATGGTACTTGCATATGCTTCAGCTGCTCAGTTGAATATCAAAGCTATTTCAATGGCTAGAACTCAAACTACGAAATCTAACACAATAAGATCCATTAAGGACGTAAAAGATTTTGATCAGCGTGTTGTACAAGCGTTCACGGTGGAATTTCGACGAGATTTGCGATCTTTACATTTTGGGCAAAATTCATGAGGACGTGTTTTCATAGGCTCGTAACTCGGCGATTTTTATAGACTGGAGCCTGAATCATGCGCCATTCGATAGCACAATTCCTATTAACTTTGACTGAGAAAAGCAAGCAGGCAAGTTTTCTGATAGATGCGCGAGAAGTGCGGGCAAAATTACGGACTTTCGTGATGCAGTTACAGTCACCTCACCGTATCTCACCAAAAAGACCCTGTAATCCTCAATGACCTTGATTTTCGTAAAAAGCGTGTTCGAAAACCTCTATAAGCGAAGTTTCCTTACAATTTAAGGGCATGAACATTTTGACCAAAACCCATCGGCCAACTTCAGAGCGTAAAACGAGAAAAAATGAAATTACTCGAACATCTTGGAACTTGCACAGAAGGGTTATCCGACCTGATGATTACGAAAATCACATCTGCTTAGCAAGGGAGCTTCATATTTCAGAGTTACGTTGAGAAAAATTCAGAACGACATGATTTTTACAGAATTCACCAGCCCTTCTAACTCCTCTGGAAAAAAGTGCGCGGCTACTTTCTAGCGCTCAATAATCTACAGAAGAAGTACTATCGAAAATTTCTTTCTAAATGTACTGGGGGCAATACGCGCTGCTTCACACCTTTGCGAAGAGACGCCCGCAGAAAGTTTTGAGAATACTGAAATCGAGATATCAAGGACATTCTGCAAATCGAAAGATTTACCTTGATGAGCTGAGCACAATGCATTTTTCGGATTCAGAAAATATCCACTCCAAAGAAAGTTACGGCGAGTAGAATTTGGAAACGAGTGATTTTTCCAGAATTTACCAACGCTTTTTTCTCTTTTGAAAAGAAGTCTGCGGCAGCTTTCTAGCGCACTATAATGTACAAGAAGAGCACTATCGAATGGTGCTTACTGGAAGCTTTCATGTGGGAGCGCTGCGTTACATACTTTCAAAGGGACCTCCTCAGAACAATTTGAGAAAACTGGAAACAAGATATAGATGGCATGACGTATGTCGGAATTCGCCTTGACGAGATGAACACAATGCTGCTTTCGAATTTAGAATATATTCATTCCGAAGGAAGTTATGGCGCTGCATAATTTGCGATATTCCGAAATCGCGAAATTTCTGGAATTTCGCGAAATTCCCGTTCTCTGAGTGGTATTGTACATTGCATAGCACGCGCGGCATTCCGCGATATGTGCTTCTCATGCGATTTCCAACCATTTCCCTTTGTCTTCCTGCATTTTGGGACCCGTCATACTTCGCCGAGAAAAGCCCAGTTTCACACATATCCATGCAGAATGAGCTCTTAAACTATACCTGCCCTATTCTGCAGTGCTCAACAGAATGTGTATGTAGCCTCTGGAATCAGCACACTGAATGATCCATTTACACTAAAATTCCAAGAAAAAAACTTATATCCCACAACTAGGCACATCTGTATACTGGAAGATGGGCCTCGCCGAGCTGAGTTGAATGGTACTCTTAAATATAGAACTCATAAATTTTGAATTAAAATAAGGTTTTTATAAAAGTTAGGCGTCGCGCGACAAAGTAGGCGGCAAGTGCCGCTTTTCCGTCTAACTTTGTCGCGCGACGCGGCTGCCGCATGAGTTAAGTGCCGCCGCCATTTTTTTTCACAAATTACGGGTGGTAATGTACGTGGTTGAAAGTTCTCACAAGGGGTAAGTGAGTATGGTGATTATACTTACAGTTACACTATTAACTTTCAGAATTATCGATTACCTATGTCGAATTTTTGTGAGCTTTCAGCTATGGGGCTGGAATTTGGCAAAGGGGGTAGGTAGCATGAGATTTTCTCGATTCTTTGAAAAATTTTGCTCGAAGAGTTTGAAGCCAGCGTCCCGGCAGATTTTGCATTTCCATTTTTTTGCATGTTTTGGGCCTTCTCG